ATGTACTGCCCAGCCCTGACCAGGCACATGTGGGGCAGTTCAAACTGATTTGTATACAGACAGGCCCTGACTTATGATGGTTCAACTTACTATTTTTCAACTTTAGGATGGTGTGAAAACAATACACATTCAATAGAAACTGTACTTTGAGTATCCATACAACCATTCTGTTTTTCATTTTCAGTATTATATTCAATAACACATTATATTAATAAAATAAGCTTTGTGTTAGATGATTTTGTCCAACTGTAGGCTAATGTAAGTGTTCTGAGCACATTTAAGGTACACTAGGGTAAGCTGTGATGTTTGATAGTTAGGTGTATTAAATGCATTTTCAACTTAGGATAGTTTCAATAGGTTTACAGGACAAAACCCCGTTGTAAGTTGAGGAGCATCTGTACTTGTTAATATGTCTGCTTTTGGAAACTCTATCACATGGAAATTTTAAAATCTGTTTTAGAGTAGGAAACTGAGAAGCAAGCTTATTAGGACTATGCTTTTAAGCAAAATTTAACAGATTCCAAGAGAAGGCCTGCAGGGTTCTCTTTGGAGTCAAGTACATGAACACCACTGCACCTGCAGTGGGACAACTATCTTGCTGTTTAAAAGCCCTTGAATTTAATTCTTGTTACTTAAGATTGTTCCAGATGGTTGGGATGTCACATGTTATGCAGCTAAGGGATTCACAGACTAACAAGTCCTGAAGTGACATTAACAGTCAACAAATCCAACCTCTGCACTCCCTGTGGGAAAAATAAAGCCCCCCAAATTTCAATGATTTGCCATAAGCTAGTTAGTAGCAGAGCTAAGGTTAGTATTCAAGTCACTCAGACCAGTGGTTTTCAGCTGGGGGCCCCCCAAGGGGACACTGGCAATGTCTGGAGACGTCTTTGTCACAGTAGAAGGTGCTACTGGCATCTGATGGGTAGAGGCCAGGGATGTTGCTAAATGTCTTAAAATGTATAGGATAGTCCCTCACAAGAAAGAATTATCAGGTCTAAAATGTCAACAGTGCCAAGGTTGAGAAACCCTGACTTAGAACTACTCTTTGTCAGATCTAGGTAATCAATTTTACACTTAATTCAAGCATTCTGAGATTAAGAATGTTAAAACAGGTTACTTCCTTTTAATCAAATATTCAGGTAAATTTAAGGATCCAGTTTATTTGATTTCCTATGTGATGAAATATGATAGAGAAAAGAATAGAACATACTTACCAGGAGCCAAAACCCAAGGGTCTCCTATCATAATCTGGCAGATCTGGAGCAATCTTACAAGCTTGTATGTTCAGGTATTTAAATATGTGGATTTTGCCTTTTATACATATCTAAATGAAGTAACATATAAATATAACCAAATTATTATTTATTTGAAATAAATATGTTCCTTTGTATCATAATCAGCTTTTTACTTAATATACATTGGGATAGAAGGCATGTCTATCAAGTATATACAGTAACATTAAAAAACTAATATCCTTATT